AATTACATTTTACTAACATAGCAATATAGGAATATATTAGTCTTACGTACAACCAAATTGTCTGCAGTATCGTATTTTATGTTTGCATTGTGTATCACATATTTTTACTAAAAATAATCAATGTTGGTCCACTATTTGGGGTAGTTTCCATTCAACATTATCCAACTAATTTTGAGGTTTCTGGTATATTTTGTGCGTTTTCAACCAAATTGGCTGTAATTAAGTATTTTTGAATCCACATTGGGTGTTAACTCTTCGTACCAAAAACTATCAATATTGGCTTAAGTTTCGCCATACCAATTTTCAACATGCAATCAACATTTGCATTTTAAGTGTAGCTGTTTTAGTATAATAAGTAAGTTATCATACGCTTAGACCTTAGACCTACACAACAGCGATGTTCCTACCACAGCTCAAGTTCTATTCATTTACCACCTACTAAATGTATTATGTTATTAATCAACCTGTACCGTGTACATCTATTTCCATACCATTATTAAATATTTAATCTTTATTCATTCTCTCAATTACAAATGAACTAAATTCTGCGTATTGATTGTCAGGTTTAATACCTGTAGTACTTTGTGTACCTTATAGGACAAATTTCCCAAAATCCAGCCTTAACGTTGTACGTACCGTTAATGACACACGGACACAATTTCAAGAGTCCAGTTTTAGCCGTTTCGCCTGGGTCTTAATTATTTTTCACACCAATTGATGTAATTTTCAAATTTTTGCAATTGCATGCAATTTACACATGGCATAGTTATGAAAGGTAGTCTCATTTAAGAAATTAATAATGACAACCCTTTTTAATTTGTAACTCACAGCCTTACCTAAAATTCAACTAGCTCGTTCGACGTTTTTCACCACAAAAGTAGAATACATGTATTTATATGAATGTTTCCGAAATACGTCGACGTACGAATTTTCAAAGTTGAAAAAATTCAACTATGACAGAACGCAGTTTTGTTTTTTTCTTTTGTTGAAAAAAGAAACGAAACATAAAGAAATATAATTTTTTTTCGATAAGAATATGAAATATTTGAACACAATTTATAATTTCTTTATTTTATTTCGCGATTTTGTTTAGTTCGCTAAGAGAAATGGATTCGACGTGTTTGGGTAATACGGCCGCACAAAACATTTTGTCATATTGGGGAAGTTGAATATTTTTGTACGCTTCGTTGAATTTTAGGTAACGTTGTCATACATCAATTTCAAATAAAATGAAAATTCCATAAAATTGTATGCAAGGTTTATTAATAAGGTTAACATGCAGGCGAATTCATGCCTCAGCCTTCTCTTGCTGCCAACATTTTAATCGCAAAATACCAACCCAAGGTAGATATACAATATACCTTGTACCAACCAGAACAGAATACAAACTCAAAATATATGGGAAATTACAAAATTCTTTTAAAATTCCATTAAAAAAAATTTGAAAATTTTTTTGGCGAGCACATTCATGATTTTTGGTACATAGGTTAAGAAAAATATACTGATTCGAAATCTGTTCGCGTTCACTAATTCGGATGCTGCGCACAAAAGTTATAACGATTTTAAATCTTGTATTTCAAATATAAATTAAATGAATTCCTATTTGTTGTAATTCGCGAATTTCTTCACAAATGGATAAACACATTTGTTTTCTTTGCATACTTGTCAAATCACATAGAAATACGGTATAATGGTCGCGAAAAACAAATAGAAGCATGAAGATATCGGAAAACAAAATAAATTATTTTTTGAATTAAAATAAAAAGGTTTTTTGAATTTTCGATTATTATAGTATGGTTAAGAGGATACGGGTTTTCCTTAATCTTCTAAAATATACCACGCTTTCTTCTGCAAATTCTTTTAGATGATTGTTAAATATCGGTAGATTCTATTGTTAAGAGTTTTGACTTTAAAAACCTCCAAATATATTGCAGTTACAGTATATGAAAATGATCAACATTAAAAAGGATGCAATTCGCATATTCGTTGAAATCAGTAGATGCGCATGCGGTTTTCGTATAAACCGAATCAATATCTTCCAATAATTAAGCATTTTTCGAGGTTTCCTTAAGCGGCCGAAGTGTGCCGCTCGATGCACTTTACTATGCAAAAACCCTAAAAATTCCTAAAAATGGCGCAACGTGCATACGATTTTTATGCGCATCCGATTTCAGTAATCTCCTATGAAAATACACAAAAGGACACCTATTTTAAAAGGATCCGTTAAGAACCGCGTATATGCCTCCACAATCGATTTTGGATAAAATACGCCTATTATTCGCGTATCGATATATTTTTGACCTATTTTCCAATGATTTGCGAATATGATAACACAAGAATGAATGTATGTGAAATCAATTCGAAGAAAAACACTATTATATACACGAATTTGTCAAAATAAGTTTTTGCAGTATTTCCCACATTCAAGGTACCTATATCCGCCGTTTTATTGGGCGGAATTGAATATGGATGGGCTCATTAGATCCGGCACGTAAAAAAACTAAAATCACGCGGGGTTCCACGGAATTTGAATGGAATTTCTTAATTTTAGACTCAAATAATATGTTTTTTATAAAAAATTACGCACCAAATTTTCGTCTTTGGAACTCAATTGCAAAGAAGCTACGGTGAGCACATTCATGAGATATACACTAAACGAAGCAAAATCACGAGTTGTACAATCCTATAATTAGTTTAGTCCATTATCTGGATGCGCATCCTAATTATAAGAAAAATTTTAAAAAACACCGAAAATTCGGCTTCAAAATGCCAGCATCCGTATTGGGTGGATGCAGTGATTATATCAAAAACTCATACATTAGAACCATATTGTCCATGGGGTATTCTGCAACTCAGTCATTGGTCACATGTGCGTGCGTTGTGTAGTTTAGCCACAAATCAGGAAAGAACACAAAAAACTCGTTGGCTTCAACACATTTTCACCCATTTTTTTACATTACCACCATCACAGCTTCCACGCAACTTATTATTTATTACCAATATTTTAAGATTTTGACAAGAACACTTCATTTTATAAAAATGAATTTAAATTATATGCAATGTGTTCATATTTCGCGAGTTATAACCTTGCAAACCTCAGTTTCAAGGAATTTAAAAGGTTTTTGTAATTTCCCATATATATAGCAAAACATGTTTGGGAGCTATATATAAATGGACGTATTTGAGCAACCGTGGCATTCACCATTTGGTATGCTGCAGCACAGTGCACTTTCCAAAATTTATCTCGACACAAAATCCAATACACGTTATTCAATTTAATGAAATTGGATAAAAATATATATGGAAGCTATATTTAAGGGAACCCCCCCATTCTCGATGTTTTATTTTTAAGATTTTAAATGGGCTGGTAAATGAATACCAATGCTTGTTAAGGTTTGTAACTTTGCACATATATATTTGAAGATTTAAAAAGGAAGAAAAATAATTTACAAAAAAAAACTTTTGTTGTTGTTTTTTGTGATTAAAGAAAAGTCCTTATTTTTGATGGCGGGCATGATAACTCCTCACTGAACATCGGAATCCGAAAATTCCAACGGTGTTAGAAAGAGTATATTTTTTGAAAAATAGCCTATTTTTGACCACAAACTAAGTTACAAAATAAGGAAGATCTTCACCGATTGGCTTTATCCCAGTTCATACGATAGCTATACACTCACAGAGAAAGGTCCCAAAATTTGGAATCGATCGGATCATTAGTTTTTGAGTTATCGTGCCCGCCATATTGATTCGAGAAAAATGCGTTTAAAGTTTGAGAGTCACTCTTGCCGTCACTTGATGCTGACACAATAAATCGACTATATCTTCAAGAGTTCTTGAGATTTTCATTTGAAATTTTTTAGGGACATTCTTGAATTAGTGTAGATTCGAAAAACTAAATAAAATTTTTTGACACCGACTATGGAGGGGGTCCCCTTAAATGAAATCGGATGAAAATATTTATGGAAGCTATATCTAAACCTGAAACGACTTCAATACGCTATGCAATATTTCATTTGCACTATTTACACAAAATCGGACAAAAATATATTTGGGAGCTTTTTCTACATTTGAATGGTGCACCATTTACATAAAATGGGACTAAAATATATACATATGTGAGTTATATTTAAATCTGAACCGATTTGAAACATAACAAAAAGCATACCAGACTAAAATCCATACCCCCTAATAAATTTCGTGATTATACATAGAACACATATAGTCTCCTCGGTGCACCATTTTCATAAAATCTGAACCTATTTCAACAAAACTTCACAGATGTCAACCTGGCAGTATGGTGCTCCATTTACAAAAAATCAGACGAAACTATATATGGGAGCTATGTATATCTAAATCTGAACCGAATTTCTCCAATTTCAATAGCTTTCGTCCATGGGCATATGTTCAAAATATTTGACCCTTTATGGAGAAGGTACTACAGGGAGTGGGTTAATAGATTCCATTTTCAGATTAAAAAAAGTTCGACAAAAATATTACGATATGCTAATTTTTTACCAAATCGCAAACTCCGTTCGCATTACAATATATTTATAAAACATGGACCTTTAGTGGGGGAGGTACCAGAAAGCGATGACCAACCAAAAAATATTAGGTTATGCAATGTTTGGGTCAAAACTTATAATCCTTTCGCAGGATATTATACATAATTTTTTAGCAATGTTTTAAAAATTTGTATGGGAGCCATTAGAATGACTTCTCAGATTTTCTCCAATTTCGAACATGATTTATGTTTGGATGAAATATTACGATGTGCAAAGCTTGGCACCATCCAGCTATACACTCCAGCCTTAAGGCCGTGTATAAAATTAAGTTTATATGTAAAACGTTTTCTATGAGTTTTCTGTTAATGTATATTTTATTTAAATTGAATTGAAAGAGCTTTCTTCACAAAGAACATACATTTTCTGGGGTGAGTCAAATTGACTTATATACGTAAAAGTAACAAAACATCCGTAAATATAGTGTTAAATGTTTTATAATTAGTATTGATAATTTTCATTAATTCCATGAGCATTAGCCTGTTGTTTGAAACATTTGCCATACTCTTCAGCTGCTTGACAATGATCCGATGAGACTTCAATGTTGGCACAAGCATTGATAATTTCCGAAGCCACTTTCATTTTATCAGCATTGCCATCGGTTACTTTTTCGGCATGTTTCAATGCAGCTTCTGTGGCAAATTTACCAGAGACATCCATCTGAATAATATATGTATAAGGAAATTAATATAAATAAATAATATATGAACTACTAATCTATAAAGAAACATTTCTTACCACATCGAACTTCTTCATTAGGCAAGCACGCAGACACTTTCCTTCCATAGTTGTGGCTGGTTTTCTTCCCACCAGTTCTTCAATATCGGCTGTAAAATATAGATTTTATTCTCATTTTAATTAAAATTGTTATGATAATAGTAAATATAGCAACGTGGTGTTAGACAAACGCATTCATATATAGAGTCTCTACCATATTTTATTCTTTGATATAATCTTACCATCAGATGCACCCACTTCACTTTTACATTCTTCGGCTTTAGTTTTAAGTTTTTCAATGGCTTGCTGTTTATCGAATTCACCA